AGCCTAATTGGAAAGGGGGGGGGGGGAGGGGGGGGTTGTGGCAGCACGGAGGGTTGTCATGGAAATAGATGGCAAAAAAAGTTCCTGAGGATGGGGATGGAGTTTGGGTTCCCGAGAGATGAGGATGAGGAGGCAGCGAGATGCTCCGAAGGGCTCAGCATCCTTCGCCCAGCAGCATCCCAGAGCTCGGCTCAAGGCCGGCTGCCCCGGGGAGGGACAGCAAACAGAGACCCCCCCTCTCAGCTTCCCAGTAAATGAAGCATCCTGCTGGTCCCAAACCTTCCAGAAGATAAAACGCTTTACATGGAGCGATGGATGGGCAGTGGGAGGGTCTGGTGTCCCCCCCCAGAGCCTCCCCTTCCTCCCCTACCTAACGCGGTGACACTCGGCTGCGCAAGGGGACACGTCGGCAAGACAAACGAGGGCACTACAGGCTCCCCAGCCCCCCTCAGCTACTTGATATAAGCCCAGGGTTGGAGGCAGTCGAATCCAAAAGGTAAAATCCTAAATCACCCGCTCCCACCAACATCTGATCCCACCGGGAAGGTCTGAAACAGAGCATCAAATCCCGGCAGCACTCGGGAACCGGCCCCTACATCGCTCCCCTCCAGCAGGCTCCAGCATCCCGGCTGGCGACGGGGGACCACGTGTCAGCCCCAACTGGTGCTCAGGGCATCAGATTTGGGGCGATGGGAGAAGAGATGGGCAGGAGAGGAGCCATAGGAGCTGGAGGAGCAAAGTATCGAACCACGGGGGAAGGAGTTGCGGTTTTTTTCTTGCCAGGGAGCTCGACAGCAGGTCTACATTCACGGGCAAGAGAAGATAAAACAGTGGAAGCATGTTGCTTTTATTACCTGAGAAAATTGAAGCAAGTCTGAATATATCAGAGAGACGAGAGGTGACCGGCTCGTAGGGGGAAGCTTCATAAAATTCTTCTCCTAGAGTGGGAGGGAAGAAAGAGAAGGGGGAAAAAAAAAGCAAATTAAAACCCATAGCGAATAACCTCAGCCACCGAGGCTATGGCCGGGTGCGGGCACCCCCTCGGCCTGGCACAATTTGCAATTTGGGAAGGGAAAAACCAAAAAGCATTTAAAGCACTGCCCTGCAATGAAAGGAAAAACATGTTTTGGACCAGCTCTAGTTGAATTCTGGCTGGCTGGGAGCTTGTGGCCGGGCGGGCAGGTCTGTGCTCCTGCCTTAAGCTCAGCTCCTTCTGTAAGTCAGGTTTGGCAGCGGCTGCCTTCAAACTGAGCTCAAGAGTTGAGGGCATTTCGATTTGAAAGGTCAGTGTTTCGT